AACGGAGTTAGGCTTCATAATTTGCCAATAGTTCGTCCTGGTATGTGTTTCTAGGGTTATTTTTCTTGACATCTTTTACATTAATCTTTTAATATAAAGGAAAGTTATTAAGAGCTTAAAATTATGATAGGTAAACCCTATTGTCACTCCCATTTTAGTAGAACAAAGAGATCTTTTGCTTTGAGTTATACGTCTATGTTTTTTAAGGATTTAAAATCACCAACTTGTGGGAGTTGGCTGGTTTTACTGCTGACATCGGAATGTCGACGAGTTGGAACAGTAGGACATACGTCAAAGTCACCGTTTCAGGAAAATACAAGGGAAAGATTTGCAGCACTCTATGTGGCAACAACAATGGTCGTCGAGATGATGACAATCAATACAGCAGAAAATGTGCGTCATCATCTCAACCATGTATCATTGCTTCCCAGAAGAAAGCTGTAATAGATAAATGTCACTTGATGAGCGATGCTTCATCTCCATTCCACAAAGCGTGCAACCGTTATGTTGATCCAGCCGCCTTGATCAGTAATTGTAAATATGACGCATGTCGCTGCACAGATCCAATGAAATGTGTTTGTAACGCTTTTGCTGCTTACAGTAAACTTTGTGTTGAATATGGTGGTGTTATTGACTGGAGATTTAATGGAACTTATTTATATCCAAAACTCAAAGAATGTGGTTAGAATAAATTTGTAAACTAGCATTCGCTTTTTTTAACACTTTGACACAGAATAGTTGTTCGTACATAAATAAATTTATCCTTGAAAGTTCATTATCTGTTATGTAGAAAAAACATGCAGTAACAAAGGAGAAATTTTCACAGAATGCGGATCTGCTTGTGCAAAAACATGTCGTGATATATCACGTGGTTTAAAATGCAGTGAAAGATGCATTCCTGGATGCCAGTGTCCAAAAGGATCTTACTTGGACGAGAAGAATCATTGCGTTCCTATGAAGGAATGCCCATGTTTCTTTGAAGGAAATTATTACAAGGCGGGTGAAAGTGTGAAAGTTGGACGTTGTAAAACCTGGTCAGTATTTCTTCAAGCATAATTATACCAATAATTTTTATCTTCACTATAGTTTTTTTGTGTTTTTTCTTTAGTACGTGTAATACGGGAGCTATGGCTTGTGTGGAAGACCGAAATTGCTCCTCCAAAAGTGAGAATAACATTGCGTTTTTAAGGCTTGAAAGATGTCGAAATAAGACAAGTGAAATGCGGTGATTAGTCACCAGCAAAATGTTGCCAATTGAATTTTATATTAAAAATTTATGAACTTGAATTTTGTCAAACAAAAAACCTTTTAACAATCAGCTGTAGAACATTCACTTTTTAGCTACACAAGAAGATTTTAACGTTTGCTTACCATATATAAACTCTTTCGTTATTTAATTCTTCAAACACAAACTTATTCTAACAAACGCTTACTATACTATATATGTTTATAGGTCCTTGTGAATCGTTCCCATGCAAAAATGATGGTGGTTGTCTTGAAGAAGGAGATACATTCTCTTGTATTTGTATCAATGGGTATCATGGCAAAACTTGTGAAGGTTTGTTATGTTACACTTATAATTAAGCAACTTCACAAGTCAAATAACAATTCTTTTTATTGTTACTACTTCAAGTTTTATATAAAATGCAAACATGAGATAACTGAATTGCGAAAGCGATTAAATTAAATATTTTCTACTAGATAACGTTATTTATTTGCTTACGGGCGTGGTTTTTGTCAAAAGCCTGTTTTAAGGTTAACCTATATGTTTTAATGAAAAATCTCCGCACGCTCCTCCCGTCAGTCCTTGCACTTTATTAGGCATACATATTTTGTATGTAATTAGAAAGTTGTCGATTTTCATTGTTTGGTTTTATCTTCTTTTAGCTTCTTACCGCCATCAAAATATCAGCTTTTTATATTGTGGTTCTCCCTAACTAAAAAAGAAATATAAAATAGGTTTACCACATTAAAGTGGATATCTCCGAAACTACTGCGGTTTAAAATACAAATAGTAGTTGTCACATTAAATTGGGTATGCTCACAGATTTTAAAAAAAATATTTGTAAATTTTGGTCACCAAACAACTTTAACAAAACTCTTTGTCATTGTTATTTAAAATTTATATTTCATAGTTAGTTTTTGTGCCATCATATTTAATTATATGCGTTAAATATCAAGAAAAAATATCATTTACAGTAATCCTATAATCTTTCTGTCCATAGAGTTACCACCAACACCATGTGACTCTCGTCCTTGTAAAAACAACGGTATCTGTTCAATTAATGGAGATACATTTTCGTGTGAATGTGCTGTTGGTTTTGAAGGCAACACTTGTGAAGGTTTGTAAAGCTTAAGTTTTCCTTAAAGTAATTTGTGAAAAATACAGTTTCATATCAATGTATAAGAGTTGAATATGGATGATAAAATGTTTTAAAATCATTCAAATATCAAATAGAACTTGGTTCTCACACACCGTGACTGGCATAATGTACCTGTCTAAAACGCAAATAAAATTACCGCATAAACATAAGCTACATATGATATTAGCAATAATAACACAAGCAAAACGTTTAAAACTATTTTCATCACAAAAATTGTGACTAATAATTTTTTAATTTTAGTTACGAATGCATGTGCAAAAGGACCTTGTAAGAATGAAGGTGTTTGTACAATTGTTGGATCTTCTTATAAATGTGAATGTAAATATGGTTTCACTGGAAAGAATTGCGAGGGTAAGTCTACTCATACATTTTCTTAATTGAATTGCAATCAACATGCATTTAAATCAGGAGAGATGCAGAAATTTTTATAGAAAATAAATCTCGCAAAGTTGATACTGCCAGACTTCAAATGACGCCAGATTACCTAAAACTTGACATTATTCATAATTTAAGTTTTTTATATCAATGACACAAATAGACGTGTCTTTCTATAGCAGCTTTCATTAGCATTTTGCACAGGTTATTGATGAATATGATCAAAATTTTGAAGTACTAGGTACTATTATAGAAAACATTCTTAATCATTTTTAGCAAAGTGTAATACAAGAGTAACATTCTATTTAAAGCAGCTAGAACAGATTATGAAGATATACCATTTATTGTCAGTATGCAGATCAAGTTTACATACAATTAAAATATATTTTTGATATAGTTGGAGTTTGTGATCATAGTCCTTGTAAGAATGGTGGTTCGTGTGTTGTTGATGGTAGTTCATACAAATGTACATGCCCTCCAGACTTTATTGGTATTCACTGTGAAACAAGTAAATGAAAATCTTACATTCATTGTAACACTACGTATCTAGAAATAATGCGTGATCCCATATCAGGATTATACATAATGCAGTAAAACATTCACTGATAAGAAACTTTTGCTGAATAAGCTTTCGGTTTCTGTTTACAGCATTCTGCATGTTAGCCTCCGTCAAAGGATGTAGACAGACAGCCGAAATTTTGTTCAATAAAACATTCTATATCAGGGAACGTTTGACTGCAATACGTAAATAACACACATATATGGCTTAAAATAATAAACCTGTAGTTTTATACTATAGTATCATGTCTTACCAAAAACTAGTACATTTGACTGGTTTCACCTTTATACAAATACAATATCGCGTCTAAATATTATAAAGTTGGTATTTTTCAACAAAAGTCAATTTATGTAACGATATCTCTAGCAAATGGATTTACGTACTCTAACAGAAAAAATTATGTTTTAAAAATTATCTTACAAATAGTATTTTGGGTTTTATTTTAGAAGTTCCAAATCCTTGTGAGCCAAATCCATGTAAAAATGGTGGACAATGCAACATTTTGGGTAACAGCTACACATGTAAATGCAAACCTGCTTTTGGCGGAAACAACTGCGAATATTCACAATGTAAGTATAAACACCAGAAATTTCATTCTCAGCTACGTAATTACAAAAACAACCAGTGATTTCTAATTCAATTTTGTTTGTTAAAATTTAATTCAAAAAATTTAATCTCAAGACATGCTTAAATAATCTTCGTTCTGCATGCTTTCATGTTGTTCATTATTAATAATACTTAACTGGCATGATGGAGAAGACCAAGTGCAGGGCAAAGAGTGTGTGATGTAACTTGCAGAAAACATTGAACATTATTTTCGTTTAAAAGTCACATATCAACTTAAAAATAATGATCAGTCCGTCATTTAAATGACTTTTCTAAACATGTTAATGCAGCAAACATAGACTCTGCAGTTTTTCATGAAAATTCCGCTTTCCTCAAAAAGGTAAAAAGAAAAATCTGTCCTTTAAACGATTATAGAAAGTCAAGAAACATTTCATATTGCAAACTTTAACATCGCACTCAGCGTTTTCCACCATGCAAAATATTTAACTATACAAAATTGAATATAGTTCCTGTTTCATGTTGCATTCTTTATAATTTCTGTAGCAACATGCATTGCATCTGGGGATCCTCATTACACCTCATTTGATGGCAAAGATTTAACTTCATGGGAGATTGTGAATACGACTTTGCTAAAGATTGCAGCGAAAACAAACTTTTTACAGTCCGCACTAAAAATACGCGTTGTGGGAGGCGTGTCACTTGTACAGCGGCTGTTAAGATCTATATAGCTGGTTACTTCATTCAGTTCACACGTCAGAGACGTTCCGCAGTTGTAAACGGAGTTAGGCTTTCACAATTTCCAATAGTTCGTCCTGGTATGTGTTTCTAGGTTATTTTTCTTGACATCTTTTAAATTAATCTTTATAATAAAAAGGAAAGTTATTAAAGAGCTTAAAATTATGACAGTAGGTAAACCCTATTGTCACCTCATTTTCGTAGAACAAAGAGATCTTTTTGCTTTTAGTATATAACTATGTTTTTTTTAAGGATTTAAAATCACCAATCCCAGTGGGAGTTGGCTGGTTTTTACTGCTGACATCGGAATGTCGACGAGTTGGAACAGTAGGACATACGTCAAAGTCACCGTTTCAGGAAAATACAAGGGAAAGATTTGCAGCACATCTCTATGTGGCAACAACAATGGTCGTCGAGATGATGACAATCAATACAGCAGAAAATGTGCGTCATCATCTCAACCATGTATCATTGCTTCCCAGAAGAAAGCTGTAATAGATAAATGTCACTTGATGAGCGATGCTTCATCTCCATTCCACAAAGCGTGCAACCGTTATGTTGATCCAGCCGCCTTGATCAGTAATTGTAAATATGACGCATGTCGCTGCACAGATCCAATGAAATGTGTTTGTAACGCTTTTGCTGCTTACAGTAAACTTTGTGTTGAATATGGTGGTGTTATTGACTGGAGATTTAATGGAACTTATTTATATCCAAAACTCAAAGAATGTGGTAAAATAAATTTGTAAACTAGCATTCGCTTTTTAACACTTTGACACAGAATAGTTGTTCGTACATAAATAAATTTATCCTTGAAAGTTCATTATCTGTTATGTAGAAAAACATGCAGTAACAAAGGAGAAATTTTCACAGAATGCGGATCTGCTTGTGCAAAACATGTCGTGATATATCACGTGGTTTAAAATGCAGTGAAAGATGCATTCCTGGATGCCAGTGTCCAAAAGGATCTTACTTGGACGAGAAGAATCATTGCGTTCCTATGAAGGAATGCCCATGTTTCTTTGAAGGAAATTATTACAAGGCGGGTGAAAGTGAAAGTTGGACGTTGTAAAACCTGGTCAGTATTTCTTCAAGCATAATTATACCAATAATTTTTATCTTCACTATAGTTTTTTTGTGTTTTTTCTTTAGTACGTGTAATACGGGAGCTATGGCTTGTGTGGAAGACCGAAATTGCTCCTCCAAAAGTGAGAATAACATTGCGTTTTAAGGCTTGAAAGATGTCGAAATAAGACAAGTGAAATGCGGTGATTAGTCACCAGCAAAATGTTGCCAATTGAATTTTATATTAAAATTTATGAACTTAATTTTGTCAAACAAAAACCTTTTAACAATCAGCTGTAAAACATTCTCTTTTAGCTACACAAGAAGATTTTAACGTTTGTTTACCATATATAAACTCTTTCGTTATTTAATTCTTCAAACACAAACCTATTCTAACAAACGCTTACTATACTAAATATGTTTATAGGTCCTTGTGAATCGTTCCCATGCAAAAATGATGGTGGTTGTCTTGAGGAAGGAGATACATTCTCTTGTATTTGTATCAATGGATATCATGGCAAAACTTGTGAAGGTTTGTTATGTTACACTTATAATTAAGGAACTGCACAAGTCAAATAACAATTTTTTATTGTTACTACTTCAAGTTTTATATAAAATGCAAACATGAGATAACTGAATTGCGAAAGCGATTAAATTAAATATTTTCTACTAGATAACGTTATTTATTTGCTTACGGGCGTGGTTTTTGTCAAAAGCCTGTTTTCAGGTTAACCTATATGTTTTAATGAAAAATCTCCGCACGCTCCCCCCGTCACTCCTTGCACTTTATTAGGCATACATATTTTGTATGTAATTAGAAAGTTGTCGATTTTCTTTGTTTGGTTTTATCTTCTTTTAGCTTCTTACCGCCATCAAAATATCAGCTTTTATATTGTGGTTCTCCTAACTAAAAAGAAATATAAAATAGGTTTACCACATTAAAGTGGATATCTCCGAAACTACTGCGGTTTAAAATACAAATAGTAGTTGTCACATTAAATTGGGTATGCTCACAGATTTTAAAAAATATTTGTAAATTTTGGTCACCAAACAACTTTAACAAAACTCTTTGTCATTGTTATTTAAAATTTATATTTGATAGTTAGTTTTGTGCCATCATATTTAATTATATGCGTTAAATATCAAGAAAAAATATCATTTACAGTAATCCTATAATCTTTCTGTCCATAGAGTTACCACCAACACCATGTGACTCTCGTCCTTGTAAAAACAACGGTATCTGTTCAATTAATGGAGATACATTTTCGTGTGAATGTGCTGTTGGTTTTGAAGGCAACACTTGTGAAGGTTTGTAAAGCTTAAGTTTTCCTTAAAGTAATTTGTGAAAAATACAGTTTTATATCAATGTATAAGAGTTGAATATGGATGATAAAATGTTTTAAAATCATTCAAATATCAAATAGAACTTGGTTCTCACACACCGTGACTGGCATAATGTACCTGTCTAAAACGCAAATAAAATTACCGCATAAACATAAGCTACATATGATATTAGCAATAATAACACAAACAAAACGTTTAAAACTATTTTCATCACAAAAATTGTGACTAATAATTTTTTAATTTTAGTTACGAATGCATGTGCAAAAGGACCTTGTAAGAATGAAGGTGTTTGTACAATTGTTGGATCTTCTTATAAATGTGAATGTAAATATGGTTTCACTGGAAAGAATTGCGAGGGTAAGTCTACTCATACATTTTCTTAATTGAATTGCAATCAACATGCATTTAAATCAGGAGAGATGCAGAAATTTTTATAGAAAATAAATCTCGCAAAGTTGATACTGCCAGACTTCAAATGACGCCAGATTACCTAAAACTTGACATTATTCATAATTTAAGTTTTTTATATCAATGACACAAATAGACGTGTCTTTTCTATAGCAGCTTTCATTAGCATTTTGCACAGGTTATTGATGAATATGATCAAAATTTTTGAAGTACTAGGTACTATTATAGAAAACATTCTTAATCATTTTTAGCAAAGTGTAATACAAGAGTAACATTCTATTTAAAGCAGCTAGAACAGATTATGAAGATATACCATTTATTGTCAGTATGCAGATCAAGTTTACATACAATTAAAATATATTTTTGATATAGTTGGAGTTTGTGATCATAGTCCTTGTAAGAATGGTGGTTCGTGTGTTGTTGATGGTAGTTCATACAAATGTACATGCCCTCCAGACTTTATTGGTATTCACTGTGAAACAAGTAAATGAAAATCTTACATTCATTGTAACACTACGTATCTAGAAATAATGCGTGATCCCATATCAGGATTATACATAATGCAGTAAAACATTCACTGATAAGAAACTTTTTGTCTGAATAAGCTTTCGGTTTTCTGTTTACAGCATTCTGCATGTTAGCCTCCGTCAAAGGATGTAGACAGACAGCCGAAAGTTTGTTCAATAAAACATTCTATATCAGGGAACGTTTGACTGCAATACGTAAATAACACACATATATGGCTTAAAATAATAAACCTGTAGTTTTATACTATAGTATCATGTCTTATCAAAAACTAGTACATTTGACTGGTTTCACCTTTATACAAATACAATATCGCGTCTAAATATTATAAAGTTGGTATTTTTCAACAAAAGTCAATTTATGTAACGATATCTCTAGCAAATGGATTTACGTACTCTAACAGAAAAAATTATGTTTTAAAAATTATCTTACAAATAGTATTTTGGGTTTTATTTTAGAAGTTCCAAATCCTTGTGAGCCAAATCCATGTAAAAATGGTGGACAATGCAACATTTTGGGTAACAGCTACACATGTAAATGCAAACCTGCTTTTGGCGGAAACAACTGCGAATATTCACAATGTAAGTATAAACACCAGAAATTTCATTCCCAGCTACGTAATTACTAAAACAACCAGTGATTTCTAATTCAATTTTGTTTGTTAAAATTTAATTCAAAAAATTTAATCTCAAGACATGCTTAAATAATCTTCGTTCTGCATGCTTTCATGTTGTTCATTATTAATAATACTTAACTGGCATGATGGAGAAGACGAAGTGCAGGGCAAAGAGTGTGTAATGTAACTTGCAGAAAACATTGAACATTATTTTCGTTTAAAAGTCACATATCAACTTAAAAATAATGATCAGTCCGTCATTTAAATGACTTTTCTAAACATGTTGCTGCAGCAAACATAGACTCTGCAGTTTTCATGAAAATTCCGCTTTCCTCGAAAAGGTAAAAAAAAAATCTGTCCCTTGAACGATTATAGAAAGTCAAGAAACATTTCATATTGCAAACTTTAACATCGCACTCAGCGTTTTCCACCATGCCAAAGTATTTAACTATATAGAAATTGAATATAGTTCCTGTTTCATGTTGCATTTTTATAATTTCTGTAGCAACATGCATTGCATCTGGGGATCCTCATTACACCTCATTTGATGGCAAAAGATTTAACTTCATGGGAGATTGTGAATACGACTTTGCTAAAGATTGCAGCGAAAACAAACTTTTACAGTCCGCACTAAAATACGCGTTGTGGGAGGCGTGTCACTTGTACAGCGGCTGTTAAGATCTATATAGCTGGTTACTTCATTCAGTTCACACGTCAGAGACGTTCCGCAGTTGTAAACGGAGTTAGGCTTTCACAATTTCCAATAGTTCGTCCTGGTATGTGTTTCTAGGTTATTTTTCTTGACATTTCATTTTTAGAGATCAGTAAACAAAGAGATCTTTTGCTTTTAGTATAAACTATGTTTTTAAGGATTTAAAATCACCAATCCCAGTGGGAGTTGGCTGGTTTTTACTGCTGACATCGGAATGTCGACGAGTTGGAACAGTAGGACATACGTCAAAGTCACCGTTTCAGGAAAATACAAGGGAAAGATTTGCAGCACATCTCTATGTGGCAACAACAATGGTCGTCGAGATGATGACAATCAATACAGCAGAAAATGTGCGTCATCATCTCAACCATGTATCATTGCTTCCCAGAAGAAAGCTGTAATAGATAAATGTCACTTGATGAGCGATGCTTCATCTCCATTCCACAAAGCGTGCAACCGTTATGTTGATCCAGCCGCCTTGATCAGTAATTGTAAATATGACGCATGTCGCTGCACAGATCCAATGAAATGTGTTTGTAACGCTTTTGCTGCTTACAGTAAACTTTGTGTTGAATATGGTGGTGTAATTGACTGGAGATTTAATGGAACTTATTTATATCCAAAACTCAAAGAATGTGGTAAGAATAAATTTGTAAACTAGCATTCATTTTTTTTAACACTTTGACACAGAATAGTTGTTCGTACATAAATAAATTTATCCTTGAAAGTTCATTATCTGTTATGTAGAAAAAACATGCAGTAACAAAGGAGAAATTTTCACAGAATGCGGATCTGCTTGTGCAAAAACATGTCGTGATATATCACGTGGTTTAAAATGCACTGAAAGATGCATTCCTGGATGCCAGTGTCCAAAAGGATCTTACTTGGACGAGAAGAATCATTGCGTTCCTATGAAGGAATGCCCATGTTTCTTTGAAGGAAATTATTACAAGGCGGGTGAAAGTGTCAAAGTTGGACGTTGTAAAACCTGGTCGGTATTTCTTCAAGCATAATTATACCAATAATTTTTATCTTCACTATATTTTTTTTGTGTTTTTTCTTCAGTACGTGTAATACGGGAGCTATGGCTTGTGTGGAAGACCGAAATTGCTCCTCCAAAAGTGAGAATAACATTGCGTTTTTAAGGCTTGAAAGATGTCGAAATAAGACAAGTGAAATGCGGTGATTAGTCACCCGCAAAATGTTGCCAATTAATTTTATATTAAAATTTATGAACATGAGTTTTGTCAAACAAAAGCTTTTAACAATTAGCTGTAAAACATTTACTTCTTAGCTACACAAGAAGATTTTAAAGTTTGTTTACCATATATAAACTCTTTCGTTATTTAATTCTTCAAACACAAACCTATTCTAACAAACGCTTAGTATACTAAATATGTTTATAGGTCCTTGTGAATCGTTCCCATGCAAAAATGATGGTGGTTGTCTCGAGGAAGGAGATACATTCTCTTGTATTTGTATCAATGGATATCATGGCAAAACTTGTGAAGGTTTGTTATGTTACACTTATAATTAAGGAACTGCACAAGTCAAATATCAATTCTTTTTATTGTTACTACTTCAAGTTTTATACAAAATGCAAACATGAGATAACTGAATTGCGAAAAGCGATTAAATTAAATATTTTCTACTAGATAACGTTATTTATTTGCTTACGGGCGTGGTTTTTGTCAAAAGCCCGTTTGATGGTTAACCTATATGTTTTAATGAAAAATCTCCTCACGCTCCCCCCGTCAGTCCTTGCACTTTATTAGGCTTCCTCGCACAATCTATACGTAGTACATTGAAGAAGAAGAAGTTAAGAAAATGTTGGCCCTATGTTTCACTCACTGATCTGGCTATAATATGATTTTACGCAAATAATTAATTTGCTTTTACTCAAATAATTCGCTGGCTATTTACACTTAAAACTAAGCAGTGAAATATCGGACGTCATAAGAAATGGCAGAAAAATGAGTTGGACTCATCTATACAAGAGTATTAGATGCCATTTTTATATTTAAAAAAGCAGATATGTTTGCAACATTTTTCCAACACTAAAACTCTTAGTGTTTTTGCTCAAATTTAGACCTCATTAATTTACACATCAGTAAGGCTTTTTAAGACTGCCATTTTGACTGTCATTGTGTAACAGAAACATTATATTTTGTATGTAATGAGAAAGTTGTCGATTTTCTTTGTTTGGTTTTACCTTCTTTTAGCTTCTTACCGCCATCAAAATATCAGCTTTTTATATTGTGGTTCTCCCTAACTAAAAAAGAAATATAAAATAGGTTTACCACATTAAAGTGGATATCTCCGAAACTACTGCGGTTTAAAATACAAATAGTAGTTGCCACATTAAATTGGGTATGCTCACAGATTTTAAAAAAAATATTTGTAAATTTTGGTCACCAAACAACTTTAACAAAACTCTTTGTCATTGTTATTTAAAATTTATATTTGATAGTTAGTTTTTGTGCCATCATATTTAATTATATGCGTTAAATATCAAGAAAAAATATCATTTACAGTAATCCTATAATCTTTCTGTCCATAGAGTTACCACCAACACCATGTGACTCTCGTCCTTGTAAAAACAACGGTATCTGTTCAATTAATGGAGATACATTTTCGTGTGAATGTGCTGTTGGTTTTGAAGGCAACACTTGTGAAGGTTTGTAAAGCTTAAGTTTTCCTTAAAGTAATTTGTGAAAAATACAGTTTTATATCAATGTATAAGAGTTGAATATGGATGATAAAATGTTTTAAAATCATTCAAATATCAAATAGAACTTGGTTCTCACACACCGTGACTGGCATAATGTACCTGTCTAAAACGCAAATAAAATTACCGCATAAACATAAGCTACATATGATATTAGCAATAATAACACAAGCAAAAACGTTTAAAACTATTTTCATCACAAAAATTGTGACTAATAATTTTTTAATTTTAGTTACGAATGCATGTGCAAAAGGACCTTGTAAGAATGAAGGTGTTTGTACAATTGTTGGATCTTCTTATAAATGTGAATGTAAATATGGTTTCACTGGAAAGAATTGCGAGGGTAAGTCTACTCATACATTTTCTTAATTGAATTGCAATCAACATGCATTTAAATCAGGAGAGATGCAGAAATTTTTATAGAAAATAAATCTCGCAAAGTTGATACTGCCAGACTTCAAATGACGCCAGATTACCTAAAACTTGACAATATTCATAATTTAAGTTTTTTATATCAATGACACAAATAGACGTGTTTTTTCTATAGCAGCTTTCATTAGCATTTTGCACAGGTTATTGATGAATATGATCAAAATTTTTGAAGTACTAGGTACTATTATAGAAAACATTCTTAATCATTTTTAGCAAAGTGTAATACAAGAGTAATATTCTATTTAAAGCAGCTAGAACAGATTATGAAGATATACCATTTATTGTCAGTATGCAGATCAAGTTTACATACAATTAAAATATATTTTTGATATAGTTGGAGTTTGTGATCATAGTCCTTGTAAGAATGGTGGTTCGTGTGTTGTTGATGGTAGTTCATACAAATGTACATGCCCTCCAGACTTTATTGGTATTCACTGTGAAACAAGTAAATGAAAATCTTACATTCATTGTAACACTACGTATCTAGAAATAATGCGTGATCCCATATCAGGATTATACATAATGCAGTAAAACATTCACTGATAAGAAACTTTTTGCTGAATAAGCTTTCGGTTTTCTGTTTACAGCATTCTGCATGTTAGCCTCCGTCAAAGGATGTAGACAGACAGCCGAAAGTTTGTTCAATAAAACATTCTATATCAGGGAACGTTTGACTGCAATACGTAAATAACACACATATATGGCTTAAAATAATAAACCTGTAGTTTTATACTATAGTATCATGTCTTACCAAAAACTAGTACATTTGACTGGTTTCACCTTTATACAAATACAATATCGCGTCTAAATATTATAAAGTTGGTATTTTTCAACAAAAGTCAATTTTGTAACGATATCTCTAGCAAATAGATTTACGTACTCTAACAGAAAAATTATGTTTTAAAAATTATCTTACAAATAGTATTTTGGGTTTTATTTTAGAAGTTCCAAATCCTTGTGAGCCAAATCCATGTAAAATGGTGGACAATGCAACATTTTGGGTAACAGCTACACATGTAAATGCAAACCTGCTTTTGGCGGAAACAACTGCGAATATTCACAATGTAAGTATAAACACCAGAAATTTCATTTTTAGCTACGCAATTACTAAAACAACCAGTGATTTCTAATTCAATTTTGTTTGTTAAAATTTAATTCAAAAAATTTAATCTCAAGACATGCTTAAATAATCTTCGTTCTGCATGCTTTCATGTTGTTCATTATTAATAATACTTAACTGGCATGATGGAGAAGACGAAGTGCAGGGCAAAGAGTGTGTAATGTAACTTGCAGAAAACATTGAACATTATTTTCGTTTAAAAGTCACATATCAACTTAAAATAATGATCAGTCCGTCGTTTAAATGACTTTTCTGAACATGTTGCTGCAGCAAACATAGACTCTGCAGTTTTTCATGAAAATTCCGCTTTCCTTGAAAAGGCAAAAATGAAAAATCTGTCCTTTAACGATTATAGAAAGTCAAGAAACATTTCATATTGCAAACTTTAACATCGCACTCAGCGTTTTCCACCATGCCAAAGCATTTAACTATACAAAAATTGAATATAGTTCCTGTTTCATGTTGCATTCTTTATAATTTCTGTAGCAACATGCATTGCATCTGGGGATCCTCATTACACCTCATTTGATGGCAAAAGATTTAACTTCATGGGAGATTGTGAATACGACTTTGCTAAAGATTGCAGCGAAAACAAACTTTTTACAGTCCGCACTAAAAATACACGTTGTGGGAGGCGTGTCACTTGTACAGCGGCTGTTAAGATCTATATAGCTGGTTACTTCATTCAGTTCACACGTCAGAGACGTTCCGCAGTTGTAAACGGAGTTAGGCTTTCACAATTTCCAATAGTTCGTCCTGGTATGTGTTTCTAGGTTATTTTTCTTGACATCTTTTAAATTAATCTTTATAATATTAAGGAAAGATTATTAAAGAGCTTAAAATTATGACAGTAGGTAAACCCCTATTGTCACCTCATTTTAGTAGAACAAAGAGATCTTTTTGCTTTTAGTATATAACTATGTTTTTTTAAGGATTTAAAATCACCAATCCCAGTGGGAGTTGGCTGGTTTTTACTGCTGACATCGGAATGTCGACGAGTTGGAACAGTAGGACATACGTCAAAGTCACCGTTTCAGGGAAATACAAGGAAAGATTTGCAGCACATCTCTATGTGGCAACAACAATGGTCGTCGAGATGATGACAATCAATACAGCAGAAAATGTGCGTCATCATCTCAACCATGTATCATTGCTTCCCAGAAGAAAGCTGTAATAGATAAATGTCACTTGATGAGCGATGCTTCATCTCCATTCCACAAAGCGTGCAACCGTTATGTTGATCCAGCCGCCTTGATCAGTAATTGTAAATATGACGCATGTCGCTGCACAGATCCAATGAAATGTGTTTGTAACGCTTTGCTGCTTACAGTAAACTTTGTGTTGAATATGGCGGTGTAATTGACTGGAGATTTAATGGAACTTATTTATATCCAAAACTCAAAGAATGTGGTAAAATAAATTTGTAAACTAGCATTCGCTTTTTAACACTTTGACACAGAATAGTTGTTCGTACATAAATAAATTTATCCTTGAAAGTTCATTATCTGTTATGTAGAAAAACATGCAGTAACAAAGGAGAAATTTTCACAGAATGCGGATCTGCTTGTGCAAAACATGTCGTGATATATCACGTGGTTTAAAATGCAGTGAAAGATGCATTCCTGGATGCCAGTGTCCAAAAGGATCTTACTTGGACGAGAAGAATCATTGCGTTCCTATGAAGGAATGCCCATGTTTCTTTGAAGGAAATTATTACAAGGCGGGTGAAAGTGTGAAAGTTGGACGTTGTAAAACCTGGTCGGTATTTCTTCAAGCATAATTATACCAATAATTTTTATTTCACTATAGTTTCGTTTTTGTTTTGTCTTTTCTTCAGTACGTGTAATATGGGAGCTATGGCGTGTGTGGAAGACCGGAATTGCTCCTCCAAAAGTGAGAATAACATTGCGTTTTTAAGGCTTGAAAGATGTCGAAATAAGACAAGTGAAATGCGGTGATTAGTCACCCGCAAAAGTTCTTAATTAAATTTTATATTAAAAACTTATGAACATGAGTTTTATCAAACAAAATACCTTTTAACAATCAGCTGTAGAACATTCACTTTTTGCTACACAAGAAGATTTTAACGTTTTTTTAACATATATCAACTCTTTTGTTATTTAATTCTTCAAACACAAACCTATTCTAACAAATGCTTACTATACTAAATATGTTTATAGGTCCTTGTGAATCGTTCCCATGCAAAAATGATGGTGGTTGTCTCGAGGAAGGAGATACATTCTCTTGTATTTGTATCAATGGATATCATGGCAAAACTTGTGAAGGTTTGTTATGTTACACTTATAATTAAGGAACTGCACAAGTCAAATAACAATTCTTTTTATTGTTATTGCTTTAAGTTTCAATTGCTTTTATACAATATACGTGTCGCAAATAAACCAATCACAACGTTACGGCAAGTACTAACGAACATAAAGGACAAAGAACAACCCAACGAACGACAAGGTGCAGTTTACAAAATAAACTGCTCCGACTGCCACGCCTCCTATATCGGGGAAACTGGCAGAAACTTAAACATAAGACTTACTGAACACAAACGAGCTACTAAAAAACAAGACAAAACTAATCACATTGCCGAACATCACCGAATCACAAAGCACAAATTGACTGGGACTCGGGAAAATGCATTACTTACAGTACTGACTATAGACAACGGCTTACATTAGAAAGTTGGTGTACCAACTTGGAACAAACCCCCCTGAACAGGTCACAGCAATTAGCGGGACCTTGAAAACGACTTATTCACAATACAAACAAACGATCAACAAAAAACATTACACTTCACACTAATTCACAATGACAATACACAATTGACACCCACACATACAACTAGAAATGTCACAACTAAATCACACATCACAACTAAAAATAAAAATATTACACAAATAATTCACTATGACAATACACATTTCCTGTACACCCATTACAATGACGTAAAAACCAGATAACAAATACGGCTAACCTGACGTTTACTCCTCATTTGACTCTGAAGATGACTACCGCTAAGGTTGTCGAAACGTCTGTCAACAACAACAAAAACAGTCCTTCTCAGAACTATACCAACCTGGACGATTGACATTTACAAACATGTCACATTTCATAGCTAGTTTTTGTGCAATTATATTTAATTATATGCTTTGAATATCAAGGAAAAATATCATTTACTGTAATCCTATAATCTTTCTGTCCATAGAGTTACCACCAACACCATGCGACTCTCGTCCTTGTAAAAACAACGGTATCTGTTCAATTAATGGAGATACATTTTCGTGTGAATGTGCTGTTGGTTTTGAAGGCAACACTTGTGAAGGTTTGTAAAGTTTAAGTTTTCTTAAAGTAATTTGTAAAAAAATACAATTTTATATCAATGTATAAGAGTTGAATATGGGTCAAAAATGTTTTATAATCATTCAAATATCAGATACAACTTTGTTTTTACATACTGTGACTGGCATATCGTACCAATGGAAATTGTTTTGAATGTCTAAAACACAAACAAAACTACCTCATAAACATAAGCTACATATGATATTAGCAATAAAAGACAAACTTTTAAATGCATTTTATTACAAAAATTCTGATATATATTTTTTTTTTACTTTTAGTTACGAATGCATGTGCAAAAGGACCTTGTAAAAATGAAGGTGTTTGTACAATTGTTGGATCTTCTTATAAATGTGAATGTAAATTTGGTTTTACTGGAAAGAATTGCGAACGTAAGTCCACTCATATATTTTCTTAATGAAAAATTAGTTTCCAACAATTTTGGTACAAATTACGTAATTATGGCATAATTTATTAATCTTTAAACTTTTCATAAATTTTAGGTGCATAGCACCAACAGAACATTAACTTGAATTTAATTCAAGTTATTGTCATTAGTCGTTATTAATTGACATAGTTTTCTATTTTAACAAATAAATTCGGCAAAAAGACTGCAAATTTAAGCATATACCTGGGTAATCATTTCATAAGTGGCCTGAAGAGTCAATGATTTTTCCAAATCAAACGAGGATATTTGTTGACACCTGGTACGAAACATGGTTCTTCAATATACAACGGAGATTGTTACGTAAAGATTCAATAACAAAGAGCACAATATAATTTAAGTTTACTAAAACATAAATTTTTGACTTTGTTACAAATTTTACTATAAACTACTGCTTTAAAAAGCAGCGTATTCTCCAATGTGCGCCACGTCCTGTGAACTATACCCAGACAGCACCTCACGGCCAAATAAGAAATAAGGCAACTTTGAGGCCCAAAACGTCAAGGAAGGTCAAATTTTAGGGTAATAAAATATATTGCAAATATATGCTAAAATTGATTTAGGCACTTTTACATTCCAATTTCAAGCCAATCTCCTCAACACACAAACTTTTAAACGTACCAATTACACTTAGGAGGCAAACTGGTGACTTTTTCGTATGGCCTTCACAAAGCTGAGTATCATATTTTGAAATCAAAATCACAAAACTTGCTTGTGATATGGGAAAGTAATTTCTGCAAAAAAAACATTTATTCAAAAATTTGTAATCGAAATTAAAGTTGAAGAAAATTCTGTTTTAACACTTATTGTCAGTCGGTAATTGTTGACGAACTTTTGAAATAAAATCGGTAATGGGCACAAGTGAATGCGTTGATGAAGGAAAATATAAATGAGTAAAAACTTATCTTACTATAGTCAGATATAGCATTTATATATTATATGTATTCTCTGATGATGATCTTTGGAATAAAGTCGAAACACGGTGCCATCCAGTAAACTGCTATAGTGGCGAGTATCTCTCGCCCATACGCAGTTTTAAGAGATTTGACTCGTCTCCAATCCCTGTGGGCTTGGTAGCTCAACAGGTAGAGCGGTGGACTAGTATCCCGAAGGTGCGAATTGAAATCTCGTGCAAGTCACATGTTTTTCATGTGCATATTAAAAACCGTGTTAGGGTTTATATATTATAGTCAGATTAGGAAGTTAAATACGAGAATTTAAATTTTGTCTATATGTCTGGGGTAAGCTATTGTATTTTTTATTGGAAAATCCTTATTTAATATGACGCTGTAAATTTGTTGCCCTAGATATTTTAATTTGCTTATTTAGTGGTTTTTTATGATTTCCCTCTGGCTGTCAGCCGCAATATTTTTTCTCCCGATTTTCATTCAACAGGATGCAGGTTTAGTGTAACAAATCCATAAAATTATTCTATGTTTGACTGACTTTTGTGTTTGTAATCTAGTATTATCTTGCAGCGTTTACTTCAGCTTTGCCTTTGATTAATTTTACGTCGTGCACGAGTGTTTATCAAAACGTATAAACGAAGACAACTTGTTTTGTATTGATTATTTGTTATGATGACTTTCAACTTTTATAAACTTAAGCTTGTGGTATTCTGTCAGCATAGTCTCATTGATTTGAATAATAAAGTTAATAACTGATAAAATTTTATTTAAGATACTTGTTAATGCAAGTTAAGCAGTAAAACAAAATAAAATGAGTTTTTTCATGTACTTGTCTTTTCAATATCTCCGCATATTACGATGTTTCAAGTCTGCAATTTGACATTCAACCCCCTTCCCTAGTTGTGATCACCTTGCAACGTGTCTGAGTTTAATAACGTTCAAAACCAATTCAAAGCTACTTATGCACATAATCACATAATATATGATTATTTTTTACCTCCATTCTGTCATTCTGTATGCAACCAATGAATATTGTCAAATAATAATGTTGCTTCAAAGATTCTATTTTTAGTCACAATAAAAACTTCCCTAGTGAATTATTGCTCTGTCCTTTCATTTTAAAATATAAATTACGTTATTTATTTTAGTCAACGTTAAGCCAGTCTGCGTAAAAGCAAATTGGTGGGTATCTTTCAACAAACAAGGATGGTCAACTTGTGACACCACAAACCAGTTTATCACTGGCTTTTATCGCAGCGCATTGAGTGCCAACTATGATGGACTTTACCGTCTTGAAGAAGCCAAATGCTGCAAATCTAGTCCAATATATATTGGACAGAAAAGTATTTGCCAAAATGCTGACTGGTGGGACTCTTTAAACAAGTTAGTATTTTCCCCCAGAATCAATCTTTTAACTGGTATTAATTGTCTTTTGGTTCATTTTCTCAGTTCTTGCTACTATGAAAATGAAGGAAACGTAAGGAATTTGGATACATTTCTTGCACTATGATTTAAAATGATTAACTTTTATGATTGTTTAGTTTCACGTAAAAATGCGTACCAATATTTACAGGTTTTTTTTAAAAGGTTGATCCAGGATAGTGCTTACTATTCTCACTTTCAATTTTGATTTTTATCAAGTTTTGTACTTTTATGCTTTTGTTACCTAATTGTGAACACTGATGGTATTAGTAGCAACCGATAGCCGAATCATTTTTAGCCTCTTAACGTGGCAACTTAAACAGCTTTTCAATTAAAAACAAGGCGCAATGTCTTGAAAGTTGTCCTTTAATTTAGTGAAAAAATTTTCTTATGATCTTTTGTCTGTTGGTTTTCCATGTGCTCGTAGCTAGCTACATTTTAACTTGTGTAGCAACACTTTCTAATGAAGATTTACGTAATAAAATTGACTTATTTAAGACTGTATACATAAATGTATAAATAATATGAAAAAATATGCAGGATAAGCTGTTTAACTCTAAATGCTGAACAACAACAAAAAACGACAAAAAATAGTAAATGCAGTCCTCTGTGTGTCATTCAGTCCTCAAAAAAAAATAAAGATAGAAATTTATTTCCTTAAAAATGTATTTCAGAAAAGGATGGAGTGTTTGTTCAAATGGATATTTTCTAAATGGTCTCTATCGCACAAACGGACACCACTTACATAACCTCGAAGAGGGAAAATGTTGCAAACCAGTCAATCATCCCGACAAGTATAATGATTGTTACCATGAAAATATCAAGAATGATTTCAACAAAAAAGGATGGACAGTGTGTAAAAAAGATGGCTACTACGTCACTGGGTTAAGACGAGATTCTGGGGATTGGCTAAAGGATATTGACAGTTTTAAATGCTGTAAAATGTGGAGTGGTAAGAATCACAAAAACTAATTTTTTTTTAATCATTAAGTAAAAGTAAATGCTTCATTATCTCTGTTTGTGTAGGTTGAAGCTCCATGCCAACCACGTGATAAATAAGCAAGTAATGATTTTATAAAAAAAAGTTGTTGTTGTAGTTAGAAACCGTTATTTCAGTTATTTTGTAAACTCATTTTTCAAATAAAACTTTGATACAAAAGGAATGTGGATATTTTTAACTTTTCATACCACAAATGGCATGTCCATGAAGTTTTAACGCAAGATTCCCTTCATTTCTATAATCATACTTGTCTGTATAGTTTAATTGTATGATGATACATGTATATGGCCTTCACTATTTTGTTCGTGAGAACAGTTGCGATAATAATATTCAAAATTGTGTATTTGTTATTTGTTAAAAATCAGCTACAGTATCACTCCTACTTAGCGAGAAAATTATAATTTTTCACTACACATATGGCATAAAAAAGTAGAATCTTATAAACGACCATATGCGATGTCATTGATCTATTGCTCTGAAATGGAGCTATAGTATAACAATTTAATTTTTTTTATCGATAATTACTATAAATTATTTCGTCGATTTATGAGTCAGAAAATGGGAAAGCTGAATATTCTCGCAAACTAAAAACAAATAAATCGTCGTAAACAATGTAAGAAGTGATTTCAATTTCATCAAAATTTAAACCAAGAAACATAGCTACTCGTTATAGGAAACAAACAAACATCAATTTATTATCATACTAGAGAGGTTACTAAAAATTGACCTCTTTGTTTTTAGAATTAATATCAATCTATTCAATACCAATTTTAGGCTTTTTTGCAATGGGTTGATTTCTTAGATAGAAACTTCTGGTTTGATGTCGTTCAGCAAGGCTAAGTGCAACATTAGTGAAGTTTCCAAGGTATGAAGCCAATCTTTTAAAGTAACTGTGCTTTGCTTCGTATCGCATGCACCAGCTCCGAATCATTGGTCCAAATCTGAAAAAATCAAGGACTCATGTTAGCTAGAGGGAAACCAATGATGTAACTTTTACATGCATTTTCAGTTACATACCACATTTTCATTAATAAACTAAGATACAAACCAGCAAAATCATACCTGTAAACATGAGCTGGGTAATGAACCAAGTAATGCATCTTGGGTATAACTGAAAGCCAGGATAAAGCTGGGTGAATTTCCACAAAATTCCTCCAGGTATGCTTCCAGGATAGCAGGTTCATCAGTGTTTGTGATTGGTGAAAAAACAATGTCAACAATTTTAAGGAGCAACAGAAAATATATCCACTTTTCTTCATCCTGAGGAATGGCATTGCCGTGAGCTGAAGGAAGGAATTTTCCATGGCTCGAAGCAACGGGTCGAATGCTCAATAAAATTATTTGTAAAATCCGGAGAAACTTTTATTTTTAAACAAATTATAACTTGTATAATTTTGTATTAAACTTTTTCTGCCTATATCTGTCCAATAAATTACTTTACGAGGAAACAGACAGATAGGTAGAAACTATAGTGAAAGTAACGTAATGAGTTATTCAAAGAAACGTGTAGGAAAATCTAAACTGTAAGAGAAAGTGAACTTTAGAAACAACAATATGGTTTCGTAACATGAATTATTAACAGTCTGAAAATTTATGTAAATGAAAGACACAAAACAACAAGTTGTGATTAAGGAATAAAATAATTATAGGGAAAAAATCAGAGCATTAAACAATGGACAATGTGGTAATGAAGGAAGTGATGCAGCACGTGTGTATAATTGAGTATATCTGTCAAAATTTAGGGAATTCAAATGTAAGCATGCAACTTGGCAAAAGGAAAATAAAGGAAGAGATATACAGATCCATGCCGGAACGAGACCAAAATCCTTGTAGCGGTGCTTGAACCAGAGTTGTTGGCGTATGCGTCTGACGTTGCTTGCAAAACGTGAAACTAAAGGACTGAACAAACTGAAGGAACTCATACCAACAACAGTAAGTGATACTTTACTTTCTACGATACAAACTATTGCAGAGAAACGAGCAAACAAGACAGAGACACGACACCAAATCAAACAACAACAAAAACTTGAACGTTTAAAGCAAACTAAAACACGTACAAGACAAAAACATGACGATAACTGGGTGAGGCATATTTCTTCCCGATCATTAGACGAAACTGAAACGCGACTACTATCTTACGGACTAGAACACTCCATAACACCTAGACGAATTCCGACTGAGACGATAGTATCAAGTGTCGAGGCTGTCTTAGGGAATCAAAGAGACTTGTCAGAGAACAAAAGACGAGATCAGAAGCAGGATAGCCTCCGCTTTGCAATCGTCCTCTATACGTGACAACAACTTGACAAAAGACGAACAACAAGCACTCAAACGACTAAAACACCACTACAACATCGTCATTTTACCAGCAGACAAAGGACGCGTGACTGTGGTCATGGACAGGAATGATTACTTAAACAAAATGGACACCCTCGTTAACGACAAACAAACGTACGAAAAACTCAAAAGAGACCCAACACCATCACTAGTACGCAAACCTGACAGCAAGATCTGCTCTATGAGAAAATCTAACATCATATCTGAACGTATTTACTATCGACTCAGATGTTCAGTACCACGACCACCCAGACTATACGGACTACCAAAACTTCACAAACCACAAATACCCATCCGAACAATTGTATCATTCTGTGGTTTGCCTACTTAAGGACTCTCAAAGTACTTGACTAAAATACTGCAACCACTTACAAACAAATCAAAACACAAGCTACAATCCGCTGAAACTTTCATTAAAAAACTGTGCACTATTTAAATACTGGACAACAATTTACTAGTGTCTTTTGATAAGAAATCACTGTTCACCTGTATTCCACTTAATCTGGCACTTACTTGTACAAAAACCCTCATTACAAACACCACGGACGAACTGCCATTAACGACAGAAGACATTATGGAGCTACTGGAGCTCTGCCTCACCTTACGACATACAAACATGCACTACCTTTTTGGTTTTACTACGTAGATGACACAATCACAGCACTACATGCATACGAGATTGATGACTTTCACACTCACATCAACAAACAGCCACATACAATTTACCAAAGATGTCGAAGAAAACGGAACTCTTCCTTTCCTCGACTGTTTGGTAAAACATCACAATCAAAAACTACGAACAACAGTTTATCGCAAGCCAACACATACTGACTGACTACTAGACCAATCATCTTACAACCCTACATTACACAAAGCCACCACAATCAGAACATTAACAAGACGGGCGCAAATCATATGTGATTCACCGAACGCTCTACACAATGAAAACAACTGCAAACCCAACGAACCCAACGAAACGAACAACTCAGTGACAACAGCAACGATACCTTACATCAAAAGTACGTCTGAAACTATCTCGCGCATCTTACGACCATACAACATACGTATCGCACATAAACCATCACAACGGTACGACAAGTACTAACGAACATAAAGGACATGAACAACCCAACGAACGACAAGGTGCAGTCTACAAAATAAACTGCTCCGACTGCCACGCCTCCTATATCAGGGAAACTGGCAGGAACTTAAACATTACACTTACTGAACACAAACGAGCTACTAAGAAACAAGACAAAACTATTCCACTGCCAAACATCACCGAATCACAAAGCACAACATTGGCTGGGACTCGGCAAAATGCATTACTTACAGTGCTGACTATAGACAACGGCTTACATTAGAAAATTGGTACACCAACTTGGAACAAACCCCCCTGAAAAGATCCCAGAAATTACCGGCACCTTACAAACGACTTATTCACAATACAAACGAACGATCAACTAAAAACAATACACTTCACACTAATTCACAATGACAATACACAATTGACACCCACACATTACAACTAATAACATCAAACCCAAATCACACATCACAAATAAAAATAAAAAATTTCACTTCACAATAATTCACAATGACAATACACATTTCATGTACAAATAATACCATGACGTAAAAATCAGATAACAAATACGACTAACCTGACGTTTACTCCTCATTTGACTCTGAAGATGACTACCGCTAAGGTTGTCGATATGTCAGTAAACCACAACAAAAACAGTCCTTCTCAGGATTATACCAACCTGGACGATCGACATTTACAAACATGTAACGATACTCCCGGTTTCAAATCATTTATTTTAATTTACTTCAAAAATTTCAGCTTGATAAAGGCGCTATTTGATCTATAGACTAATTCTACGTATCATCATTTTATTTATGCAAAAAAGTTATTCTATTATCTTAGGAAGAAAAGTATGTTCAGAATTTTTTTTATCTCCAAGAACAAAGGTACCTACACGTACATCGCTGCTTTTTATTACAGAAAACATATTTCGTAATTGTCAGTACAGTACATAATTGAGAAGTAGACGTTAATTAAGGGATATAGATAATCGTTGTTTTCCATGAAGCCCATGGATGGTTTGCTTATGATACCTGAAGAAACAGAAGTATAAAACGTTTAACGTCGTCTTAACTTATAAGTGCATAATAAAGGCACAGTGTCAAAAGAAGTTAATCGAAACATTGCTTGGTTTAGTTTATAAGAAGAACTCTTGTAAAAAAGATAAAACTCGAAAGCAAAAAACCCCCGTTTTCGGTCCATGCTTCCCGATACCTTTTAAAGCGTAAGGCACTAGAACGCTGCATGTTAACGTTTCGGTAGGAGATTTCGGCCCCTTCCACGCTATCCTACTTGGGGATGTCAATAGCAAGCTTCAGCCCATCAGACCCCGAGATCACCTGCGATAGGCTTTGCTTGGGGTACGCAGGGAGAGTGCGGTCGCGACCCGAAACGTCTGGACCCCTAAGCCACTGCATACATATCGCACCCAGCTTCCACTGCTAGTTGACATATATTATACATATATTTAGCTTTATATTTATATACATAAATTCAAAGACTTTACGATAGTTGTGGTATTATCGACGTTACTACTGCGCATGCCCAGACAATTTCTTTAATATTTTGGGACTAAGTGAGCTAAATGCCACAACTTTAGTGGAAGTACATATGGCTAGTCGTTGCCATGACTACAAACAGTTAGTTGAGTGGATTGCGCATGCGCAAGTGCATTGCTGATGATTTCTTTATTAAATTGTTACTAAGCATGCTATTTACCTCAAAATCAGTGCTAGTTG